AATCAAATTAACTAAGTTAATTATGTCGTTAACAATGCGAACAGCCTGTTGATTGTGTAGACCTATGTCATTACCCCCAGTCTGAACGAAAACAACATCAACGCTAACAGGAATCTTTCCTACATCCTGTCTTAAATTTAGTGACGTCCCTCCGCTACGCCAAACACGATGGATCCGTCCCCCACCCCCCAAATGACGTGGTAGTCTATTACCAATCCTATGGGATACACGATGAATAAAAGAATGACCGAATAGACAAAGTTCAGCCATAACCGCTTAATTGCTTTTATTTAAAATGATCAAGAAATCAAGAAATTTCGTAAAAGTAGGTAGAAGCTAAACCTTACGTCAAGTGACGGCAGTGTCGTTGTTCCAAATGGCGGCGATCGGTAGGGAAATCATACGATAGGCCTATTGTCTCGAGAAGATAACTCAGTTTGGAAAATGTATCAAGGATCAAGTGACAAGTCGTAGAGTTATATCATTGAAATATATACTGTCAGTATATATTTCTTTGGCTATATTATAGTTTCTATATATATAGCTCTGCCAAGGTTTTCCGGAATCTGTCGAAGTTTGCCGAGTGAAAAATAGAATTCAACTCATTGTTAAAAATATAATTTGCGGGTCACGGAAAGATAACTCTGTTTGGAAACATGGACTCAGACTAGCAATTATTTGCCCATTGACTTCAATGTTAAATGGCTGTAACATCACAGGCTGTAGCTTTTTTCTCAACATTCCGTTGGTTCCAATCTTTATAGGCACAATGGGGACAACATTTGGCAATCTCCTCATCATAATTTTGTAGGGGGTTGACCATTTAGATTTTTTGCTACACGGATTTGAAGTTGACTGGGGTGAAAATCTCACTTCCGACACAATGACTGCTCTGCAGAAAGACACTTTACACCCCCTATCCCTCCGCTGTAATATCATCAGTATTACCCAAAACTGCTATGAAATTGCAAATTTGATCCCTTTTCTCCAATTCTAGACCAAAAAGTCAACCCAAAAATGCAGGAAGAGGGGAGAAAAAAATTAAGGGAAAAATTGTCTATTTATAACTCGCACTACATTCGTCCATCATGAAATAAAGGGAAATAATTACTAGTCTTAGTCCTATATACCTCACATGTTTCTGCAGTTTAAACAAATCTGTTGTTATCTAATAAACAAACATATATGCAATTCCCTGGCCAAAGATTATGAAAATCTATGCATTTTCAGATGAGCTGTGCAGCATTCTGCAAACACTACAATACATCAGAAAACTGCGGAATTTCAGACAGAAATTTAAAAGCACATGAATTTTGAATTAAACAGAACATTTTTATTTTTGAACATAAATGCATTCTGTAAAAAGATAACAAAAATTCAATATAAATCAAACAAGAAAATCCTTTAAAACAGTAATTATCATGTAATATTAGATTTTTTTAACATTTTCGTCGAAAAGATCTTAGTTTTTCTCTCTTAACGCAGTTTCAAGAGCCAAATTGTGGTCAAATCTAAGATGTTGAAACATGCAGTGCCTATAAATTTTAAAATGTCTCCTACATAGCTGTATTTACATAGGACAATTAAGTTCAGATAATCTGATTATGTAACCCTACAACAGTTTTATGATCCCCACCCCCTAGTATGGAATCTGATACATGGCTGACCAATCATAGTTCTCACTCTCCATTCTGGTCTGTCAAATGATTTACAATGTTGATGGTACCTACAACTTTCCTGACCCAGAGATATGCACAACAGTCAACATACAAGCCATTTATGTTATCTTCCAATATGAGAGGCCATAATAAACGCAAGGCTGTCTTTTTCAAGCTCGGACATGAAGTCAACACTAAACAGCAAGGTTTACAGGGGTCCTCGGCTGGAACCCAAACTGATTATGATTTGCCCTCAACTTCCACAGGTGTCACAGAGATCAGGGATGAAATTCATATGCATCATCTTTCTACTAATGCCAGTCCGGGAAGTCATCGGGTTTTGAGATGTAGACCTGAAATGTTAAATTTGGATGAGACTGAGAATTCTGAGGCGAATACTATCCAGGGAAACAGGATTATAGACATCCAGAAAATGATTGAAATGTGGAATTCTGTCATTCGGTTACATCCCCAGGGGAGAAGAAAGGCCTGTGCAGTACCAAATTTCCAGCCTGTTAGTGAGCAGAAGTGGGGAGCGGGTTGGATGTACTCTGTAAAGTGTACAAAATGTACATTTATCTCACCTGTCTACAAGTTGTATAAAGAGATTCCAACTGGCAAACCAGGAAGAAAGGCAGCCGCTATTAATCTGACCCTACAATCTGGACTGTTAGATATGCCGGTTGGAAACACCAGAGCTCGGCTGCTGTTGACAGATTTGGATATTCCACCGCCCTCTCGCAGTGGCATGCAGACTCTTTCTAACCAAGTTAGTGCTAAAATGACAAGGTTGAACACTATTAACATGAGGGAAAAAATAGAAGCAGTCAAATCTTTTAATCAGAAGGGAGGGTCAGTAAACCCAAATATAATAAATGTTGCAGTGGATGGGCGTTACAACAGCATAACCATAGGCCACAGTAAAAAGCCAGGGCAAGCAGCCTCGCAAGCCATTGGAATTGCATGCGAGACAAACACAAAGCACAAATATATCCTGAGTGCTGTGATGCAAAATAAACTGTGCTGGCAAGGTGCCTGGCTTAAGGGAAAAGGTTTTACTGTCAACTGCTCTGGGGGACATGAAGGCTGTACTGCAAATTTACCAGTTCACGCACCATTATCTGAGTATGACATGGGGAAAAGCATTGGCACAGAACTAGCTCTCCAAAACGTCCTCATCAAATATGCAACAACAGATGGAGATGGACGATCAGCTGCTGGAATTGAAGATAGTTTAAAAATTTTGCATCCGATGTGGAGTGTGGAGCGACTAGCTGACCCTTCACACCTGGCTGCCACTCAATTTAGGCACTGCTATAATGCAAAATTCAGCGAGGAGATGTTTCCTGGTAAAACCAGACTGGATAAGGGCAAGATCAAGAAAATACTGAGCCAAGATGTAAAAGCTAGATGCAGTCTAATCATGACTACATTGTTTGAAAATCACTGTGGTAATACTGAGGAGATGAGAAAACGCCTACCAAAAGTCCTAGAGTCCACTATCATGTGTTACGATGGCGACTGCTCAAAGTGCCGCCTTCATTCTGTTGTGTGCCGGGGTGGGATAACAAATAACTGGTGGAACCGTTCCATGTATCTGGCCTCAAATAAAGTTGATTCCCTGAAAATGAATGAAAATGACAAATCAATTCTAAGTGAAATTTTAAAAATCCGAATAAGTGAAGCAGCTTTAGAAAAAACCAAATTCCAAACAAATACACAGAAATGTGAAGCAATCAACCGCTCGTTGAGTGTTTCACTTCCAAAGAATGTAAATTACGGAAGAAATGCGATGGGTAGACTTTCCTCAACAATATTGAGAAGCAATGATGGAATAAAGAGTGCCACTGAGCAGAAAGCTAAACTCCTTGGGGCCCCTCTTTCTCCAAAGACAAGATATTCCCTGCGGCAAATAGAAAGAGAAAGTCTGTACCACAGAGAATACCAATCCAGACCCGAAGTGCAAAGACAAGCACTTCTGCTGCGTGGACGAAAGCTTTATGAATTCCGCGAGTACAAGAATTACTGTGCAGTTGAATCCGGCTACAAAAAGGGCCATTTAGACCAGCCATCAACAGCAGATGACACTTTACAGGATCACAGCTATAGTAAATAAGCAAGACAGACATATGCAAGCCATTGTCATATACCCACCTTTTGCCTTAATACTTGTGTTGAGGTCAATCATACCACTCTTGCACAGTAACCTGACACCTGAAATGAAAGAAAGATGGAAATAAATATGCAATAAAAAAAAAGTAAGAAAATAATAATAATAAAAAAAAAAAATATGTGGTTGAATAAGAAGGGAGACCTCCTCGTGGTTTCAACTGGAAATAGAAATAATATGCCTCTTTATTTCTAGCGAACATCCCTTCAGTGCCCCCCCCCCCCCAACAAGAAACCAGTTAACAGTCAGTAAATAAGTAAACCTTGAGTGTCACATAAATCTAAGCCAATCTCAAAGGTAGACACCATGTTTCCAGGTTTGGTCTAAATATTAAGGCCAACTGCAGGTTTAGTCAAAAGTCACACAGGTGTGAATTTTGGAGTGTACATGTTAACATTTCATTGTATGCTGTCAAAAATATGTTAGGTCTAAATATTAAGGCCAACTGCAGACTTGGTTCAAGGTCACAACATGTAAATAGGGTTAGGGCACATGATTTTTTGACACAATTGTGGGTTAGGGCTAGGGTCAGGACTAGGTCTTGGCTTAGGCCTCTAGGCTACATGCTTTTTGAAAAGATTGTGGGTTAGGGTTAGGGTAAGGACTGGGTCTTGGGTTAGGGTTAGGGTCAGCCCTGTTTACATCTCGTGGCCTTAATATTTAGACCTAACCATGTTTTGATATCATTGTGAACAAAATGTTTATTGTTACACATTTACAACCCAAAATTCACACTCGGCCAACGGATACCCCCAATCATGGCTATTTTGATACCAAATAATCAAAAAACTTACTGCTGGGCAATAAAAAAGCAGTATTCTTACCATTTCTGACACTTTCCATTCAAAATTTCAGGAAATAAGCCGTTGAAAAAATATCAACATCCTGAGTCGGCCATGTTTCTTTATATCATCAGGACTCAGACTAGCAATTTTTTGCCCATTGACTTCAATGACCAAATTGATGTCTAGAGGTCAATAAATGAGTGAATAAATCAGTGTCATTCATCGATATACATGCGTTATCTCTAACTGACCCGTTGATCACCGTTATATAACGTAAGTTTATCTTACTTACAATTCACCTCGTTAGGCCGATTAAAAAACGAATAGACTCGGATATCAAGACATTCGCATGTGTATGAAAATATCTAATATATTCGTGAGACTTGGGGATCGAGCACATATGAAGTTACACAATAAGATCTATATCGAGTATAATGCGTAGCTTGTATACAGGAACAGGTGATTATCCACGGTAAGCCTATATAAGCTTAATAATATACCGAGACGCAATGGAACGCACCAGAATTACACCGAGACACGTGCTCTATGCTCTCGAGCAGGCCTATCATGCTGAAATAGGTGCATATTTTGAGGACGCCGATTCAGAATTGGTCTTATATATTATTATGTTGGGCTGCCTGGCACGAAGTCCCATGTTATGAAATTGGGTTTAAACGTTGGCGACGAACAGTGTCAGTAATGATGGACCTCTCACGATAGCATTATTACGGGAAGCTGACAGGCGCGGATATAGCCCCCCATCTTCCTCACGAGTCCAAGTAAGCGCCCCCGTGAGACAAAGTCATCTTAGATCCAGTCCCAAATTACATATTATCTGAATTTGTTTTAGCTCAGTTACATGAATATTATACGTCGTGGCTGTCCCCTTAGACCCAGCCCAATATTACATATTATCTGAATTTGTTTTGCGCCTTGGGCGCTAAAAGCTCAGTTACATGAATATTATACGTGGCTGTCAGAAATTGTTTCGCGCCTACGGCACCCAATTTCATTATATTATTACATGTATCATCATTCTTCCAATCCTGATCTGTGGTCTTATACACTCTCATCACTATCATTTACATAGTGAATCACCCAGTTAGTAGTACTTAGCACTAGTGAGGGGGTCGTGGGGCGACAGACTGTACAGGCGGAATTAACATGTAGGCCTCGAGATTCTGCAAGAATATTTTGGCCCAGTCCGAAAAGATTTAAACCTTAATTACATATACGTTGCTATCTCAACTTTTTTCGCGCCTTCGTTGCTCGATTCCATTATAGCGTCATTCTTCCTTCACTCCTCCGTTTTCTTATACTATCTCATCACTATCATATTCACGGTTATAGTAAACCACCCAGTTAGTAGTACCACTGTTGCGTTGGGCGACAGCATGTACAAATTTTCTGCTTAACACTCACAAAACGAATTGACAAGCAGATTCTATCCCATTGACTCCCATATCTGATTCTCTCTTTCACAAGAATTTGCTCTCAGCAATGACTTTTCTCAGAGGGAGAACTTTATGACAACTTGAATGAAACTGCTTTTCAGCGAGATAACGATTGGCGAACAACTATATAGGCAATACGAGCTATGTTCTACCGGGGCGCTCAGCTTCTAGATCCGCTACTTGAAACTGACAGTCTGTGATCCGGCAGATATGGTCGGATACTGTACCGGCCGAGAAAGTTCATCCAGATTTTCCGGCGTGGTTCCCCCTTGTCAGTGATGCAGGATGGAGGGCCTGATAAGGACAGCTGTCTAGTCGTTCGGATGGGACGAAAAACCGAGGTCCCGTGTACACATTGCCGTGTACGTAAAAGATCCCTTGACAGTTGGAATTCGATATAGGAGTAGGCCGTAGTACCGCTGTCCGGGCAAAATTTCCCTCATAGCACACTGTATGGCGTATGCCCGTCTTCATTAGCCCAGTTCGGAGCAGAACAGTAGGACGTTAAACCCTATTTCATTTCATTTATTTCCAGTCGTGTCAAAACATTGTCACGCGTAACCACGCATGCCCGAGTCGATCTCTAGTTGACCATGTTTGCTGGAAACCATCGCCAAATCTCAGGATGGTATTGTGTTGGCATCTAAACCTTCGCGTGAAGTCTCTGGTACACCCACTTTGTCGAATTCATTATGTGTGCCTTTCAATCAATTGATAATATTAATGTTTGTCTCTCAAACCAGATTTACGATCATCCATTTATAAAAGTGGTACGTTTTCATTGCTTCTCAGTACCTTTGTGACACCATAGCATGGATTTTAATTGAGGGGGATTGGTCAAACATCGTACGTAGATTCAGTACATGAAAAGAAAACCGCGACACCTGAACATCCTCCACTGAGGATAAGTATAGATTAAGCAGCTTGACAGCTGGATGGGTTACAAAAAGATAAATGTTATATTTCATATTATATTTTGGGATTGCGGTAGAGGGACACCAGTTTCGCTGTTGACTTTTTAATGTTTGGTTCGATCGTTTCACAAGAAATCGGAGTTACGGTGGCTCAGTGAGTAGGAAGTTGACTCGTTAACCTGGTGGTCCCGATTTCGATCACTGCGTTGGCCCAGAAAGTTCATCGGGATATCCGGCGTGGTTCTCCGTATCAGTAGTGAGTGTAGGACAACGGGTGTCGTTCGAGGTCCCCTGTACACATTGGCGTGCTCGTAAAAGAACCCTTGACAGTAAGAATTCGAAATAGGTGCAGACCATAGCGCAAAATTTGCCTCATAGCACACTGCATGGCATATGTCCGTCTTCATTAGCGTAGTAGGAGCAGAACAGTAGGACGTTAAACCCCATTTCATTTCAATTTATTTCATTTCGTAAAAAATCATTTAAGGTCGCCCGTCTTTAATTCGAAATTTTTGATTCGTTTCCTAGTCTCTTGGTGAATAATGTGGCCTTATTTTGAGAATTTGCATACAGATTGTGATATCATATAGTACAGAGTTCGTAAACCTTTCCATTGGCGGAATATACGACCGTTCTACGAACTAATTAAAGTTGTGCATATATGGTACTATTTTGGACACAACGTCCAGCAAATAAGTCGTAGAAATGAACTTTCGTCTACACTTTTATCTAGGTTCTTTTACGCGCACGAGATCTCGTTTTTTTGTCTTTTCCGAATTACTAGATAGTAGGAACGTTCTCAGCCAAGACCGCGAGCGAACTCGAGACCTCCAAACTAACGAGCCAATGTCTTACTCACTGAGTTACCGCAGATCCCACAAGTCGTAGAAAGTTCATAGTCAACAAATATGTATGTTTGGTAATGACATATCTATTTGCGGGGAATACCAAATGCGATACGTTAATTTGTTGTTTTTACTTATATTTTCACAGATTTCGAGACAGCTTTTTAAAAACATTAACTAGAGCCGGGTGGTTATTGTGGTGTAAACCTGTTGGTTCTTGTTTCAAATCAGTGATGTTTAATGAAGTGCAAACCAAGCTACTTGACTGTGAAATAATAAGGAAATATCCTGGTAATAATTTATTTAACGTATTCTTTATTTCTGGTTTTTTTTCTAATGTGCAAACCAGTCTACTGTGAACTAATGAGGGACATAGTTGGTAATAATTTGTTAATTGATCAATTTTGATCACAGTTTGATAATACATGTAATTTGTTAATTAATTTCCGGTGTATTAGTGTAAAACTGTGTTCACCTTGTGTTTTTCACTAATTTTAAACATCAAACTGTTTACATGTTCTGTTCTGGTGTAAATGTTCGTTAATTGAATGTCTTACAAGTCACAAGTAATTATGTTCATGTTTTTATTTGATGCAAAGACAAATATTTGATATGAATCTTGACCGACCAAAACAAATGAATACACAACAGAACAATTTGTTCATTTTGTAGATTATTCCTATCAAGTTGTTCCCTTAATATTGAATATAAGACATATTTGATATAAGTTTTTACGAATGAGTGGGGGTTGGGTGGCCGAATGGTTAACGCGTTTCATCATCAGGTCTGTCATTGAGCCAAGTTGTGTGGTTTCGATCCTCCGCTTGTACGTTCCAAGGAGTAGGGTTGCCTTTCCAAGCTCGTGGGCTTTCTCCGGATCCTCTGGTTTCTTCCCACTGCTAAAGACCCATACGCGCAAGCGATTTATTGAAATAAAATTGAACCATGTGTTAGTACCGAAATGACCTAGTTTGTATCGAATTGACGTTAGAGTTAAACTGCATTTCCCTCTCTCGTTTTTACCCACGACTGATTGCAAACAACAAATGGATACACAACATAACAATTTGTTCGTTTTATATTCTGTTTCTGTCAAGCTGTTCTGTTACTCTACATTCTATAAACTACAATTGTGTATAAGTATTATAATATTAAGACATATTTGATATGATTTTTTACCGACGATTTATATCCAACAACAAATGTGTACGCAACATAACAATTTGTTTTTGTTATAGCCTGTTTCTATCAAGCTGTTCTGTTATTCTTCATTTAATTGACTACAAATTGTTCCATGTGTTTTTATTATTATTCGCCATTTTAAATGTGACCCTGTTTGATTATAAATATAAACAAACTAATCATCATTATATTAACTTTATAAGATTATTTCTAGACGTTTATTGTTGCTATTCGATTATTAATAGAAGAATGTTGGGGTTAGCTATTCTGTTCCTTGCTTTAAAAATTTATTTAAAACTAGGTTCTGGATGGTATACAAGGTTTCGGTATAAATATGTAGGGAAAATATATTATTTGCAATGGTACATTCAGCAATCACTTGCGCTTTTAATTAGAAGATATGGTATTTTACGAGTCTTACTTAAACTGTGTACTCTGATAAATAGTTATTTGAATAAAAAGACCTATATTCACGATGTTTATTATAATTGGTTTAAATGTAAGTATAAGTATTTTAGATGGGAAAATTTAGTTAAGAATTTGTTATCTCAGATGATCAGTATAACAATAATCCTGACCATTTTGTATTTAATGATAAGGAATTCAACTTTTGTACATAATTTAGAGAATAATATAATCTATATAGATACATCAAATCGATTAAAAACTAATCATTCGGTATTTATGCGGTATGTTGGAGAAGATGTGAAATTTGAATGCAAAATGGAAGTAGACAAATCATGTCAATCAAATGTAGTATGGTTTCGAAATGGTGGCAGTATAATTTCTGATTCTAGACATGTCATATCTTATAATTCTAGTAATATTGTTAATATCACAACATTACATATATATAAAACGATTTTATATTCCACATTACATGTATATAACATCCAAGATGTGGATTATGGTGTGTATACGTGTAGATTTTATCATTGTTTTCAACAAAAAGCAATAATTACGTATTGGAACGAACACAATGATAACGAAGACTGGTGTTTGCGTGATACGAAAGAGACATTCCATCTGGGTGAGAAACAATTTGAAAAAAAAAAGCGTTACAATTATTCATTCTAGAAACTGAGTATCACGTGATGACTGATGCGCGTAACGTCAAGATTATTGTAACCAGAAATGACCTCAATGTTTCTGCATCTATTATGCCAACGTGTTCTTTGTTCATATATAACTTTTTAAGGGTGAAATTCCCAAATAAGGCTAGAAATAACTATTCTTCACATTTAAATTACATCGAGAAATTGGACGGAGAGTCGACCACCTTTTTATTACAATTTCAATCATGTATTGACGCTTATTCGTATGGTTCGTACGCATTTGTTATAAAAAGGAATTTTAATGGCCTTTGGACTGAGCATTCAGTACCAGTTGATGTAATACCACAGATTCCGAAGGTTTTTAGCAATGGTTTTTACAATATTTCTAACCACAAACCGATCTCATCACATTCTCAACAATGCTGGACGAAGAAAACACACGACATAGAAATACCCTGTGAACAATATGTTGATTTGTTTCTCTCAACGGCCAGGGTTTTTTTCTTAGCAGAATACGTTGTATTGTTATTAATAAGTTTAATTACAATAACTTGTATTTATTTTATTAATCTTCTCAACAAAATGGTGGTCTTTAAACTGTTTAGAAGATTGCTATCGCAACGATCTAAATTTGTAGAATTCGACAGTAAACATATTTCTAACGAATACGATGTTTATATTTCGTATGCACCCCCTCAGCCTAGTCAGCCCGGTGAGTTAAATATGTCCGATCAAAATATGGCTGTGTCGGTGGAAAAAATTCTCAAAGAATTAAAGCTGCGGGTTGTTTCTGAAAAACACATTTCACCGGAGAAATACTCCTCCGTGGAAATCCTCAAATACATTCGCCGTAGTTATGCATTTGTAATACTCGCAAGTCATCGATATATCGAAAATTCGGAAAAATATGTGAGCGAAATATCACGTATACTTAGTAGAACAGGAGATAAAAACCGGTCTCGAATTTTAATATTAACCGTAGGTGATTTACAAAATAACCAGTTACACACCGATGTTGTAACAGGATATAGAATCTGTCCGTGGACTACAGAAATTGAAGAAAAGAGTCATATCGTTAAAAATTGGGTTCAAACTGTATTTCATCAACCCGATTACTCCCTGTTGCCTCTATTAATGCTTTATGTTTTACTTATCTATTTGTTTAATATTTTATATTTTAGATATCTATGCGTTTAATATTTTATATTTTGTGAATGTATTGGTTAAATATTTTGTGTATTAGGCATCTGTTCGTCTAATATTTTATATACAAGTCATCTAATGTTTTAAGTATCTATTTGTTTCTTGTTTTAGGTATCTTATGTGTTTCATGTTTTTGTCAATTCGTTTTAAAACCAAATTCCATGTGTTTTATGTCTATTATATGTAAATTAAACATGCATTATGCAAGAGCTAAATCTGCCTATTGCAGGTCTTTCTTTCGGCCTGAAATGTTTTCTAAAGTATTAATTAGACATTAATTAACTGATCCAGGCCTTAATCAACTCTCGATGGCATCAGATTTCTCCGATATTAAATAGATTAGAATGGTTCAACGATACTTTGATTTAATCAAATATGGAGGACCGAGACTTAGCTTCGATCAACCAGTACGGTGGTTGAAATTATTGCACACGTCTGTCAAACCTTCAAAGGCTAATATCTTCGCTTGCAATAGAGTAATTTGAATGACATTTTCAAATTATTCATTTTACATCATCTACTTTCGAACTATTATAGCAAGAATGGCTAGTTCTTTATCTAAATCTTACATAATGTATCTTTAATTATTGATTATGTTTGCTTGTAAGTATCTATTATGTAAATAAATACAATCGTTATCAGATCATATGATGCAGGTAAATAAATAAAATTGTTTCTGATCCCATAATGTGGTTGATACCTATGTATGTAAATATGTAAAATCGTTATCAGACCCTATGATATGGTAGATATCTATGTGCGTTAATCAGCAAGAATGGAAAAATTTACACGTTACAAAGAAACAGAAAAATGAGTGAAAAATTCATAATGAGAATTTGTGGGGGCGGAGGCTACGAGCTAGGAACCACACCTGTTCTACTGTTATACGAGGAACCACACCTGTTCTGCTGTTATTTAGTAGGGGTATTGGGGCTATGAGGAGCCCCACCTGTTACTTAGTAGGGGGAGGAGGCGACGAGGGACCCCATCTGTTATACAGTTATGGGGGCTACGAGGAATCCCACCTAGTTAGAAGTGGGTGGGGCTACCAGGAACCACACCTGTTATTCAGTAGGGGCTACGAGGAACCCCACCTGTATTGGGTGGGGAGCAAACCCGTTATACTGTTATGTAGTGGGAGCGGGGGTGGGGGGTCTACGAGGGCCCGTCCCATCATGCTGTTATTCAGTACGGGACCGGGGGCTCAACTGAGCAAGCCACTATGTAAAGAATTAAAATCTGCAAGATATCCTATAATTTAGTTCATATCTATGGATCAATATCATCAGCTTAAAATTTCCTGTTTTGTAAACATGTCTGAATATTACTCCGAAGTCGTTTTCCAGTTTTGCGGAATTCGCGCTGGATTTAGCACTGATTTACCTTGCTCAATCGGAGCTATTGGCCTGTGAAGAATCGTGGTGTTTGCACCTCGGCTATGAAACCATTCATCGCTTTAAAAAACAGTGGTGTTTGCTCCTCGGCTATGAAAACATTTATCGCTTTAAAACACTGGTTCCTAACCTTTTGTTGGTTGTGACTCCATTCTAGAAACTATCATCTGGTCGCGACCCATCGAACCGCTCACTATGATGTAATATGATCATAATTTACATTTATTATTGTTTTACTTATTTGACAAGTTATTAAAATGGGAGACTGTACTGTAACAAACAATTCCGTGAAAAAACGTAAAAAAATCCGGAAACAAAAATTACCAGGAAGTTTTTATCCGTATGTGCATGTTTTTCCTGCATGTAATTTACATAAATTCCTTCAATTAACATAAATTCTATTTTCAAATACAGAAAAAAAAACAAAACAAAATCCTGATTATTTTTGTTTCCTGGGCATGAAAGTGACAAAAATTTCATTAAATTTGCATTTGCAAACAGAAATAATCCGTAAATTCCTGGTCATTCCACCGTTTATCTCGTAAAATAACAGAATTAAGTCCAATATAGATGGAATAAAACATGTTATCCCTAAATTTCACGGAAATTCCTGGTCATTCCACCGTTTATTCCGTAAAATAACAGAATTAAATCAATTATAGAAGGGAATAAACCATTTTATCCCTAAATTTCACGGACATTTCCTGTTTAATACTGAACATTCCACAGAAATACATAAAGCACGTAATTTGAAGAAATAATTCACACGTTTAACACAATTTCTATTTAAAAAAGACATCGATTAACATAATTCGGCCACATAAGCCGTCATTGGGTAACGACGTTAATCCCATCTATTGTTTTTGTTGTTTTATTATATTGTTGAACAGTTTATGCATTGTTCATCTATCAACAAGTCAGTTTTAATTACATTTGCTTTTATCCTATTATCTGATTTTTCTTAAATATAACAAAATTTGTACATTGAAGGCAGTCACTAGTTAGGATACCTTACTAAGTGCATTAACTGGCCTGTCAGTACTGTATGACGATTTATGTTCCGGTGTATTAAAGAATTGAAGAATCATTCGAAGTCTGTTATATCCGAAGAGGGAATTTACACCTCTAAAATACGTTGGGACGTGTGAGGGGAAAGACGATTGGCAATGTGGTAAGAAGTGCATAGATCAGAGATGTATATGGTTTTCATGAAAACATAGCATCGTTTCAAAAGTTCCGGAGTAGTCCGCCATGACCCAACGCAGGGGTGGTGAATAACTTTGAAATCTGCAATCAATTCTCTTGTATTCCGTTCGCAAGTCAAAATGACCAAGTGAACAGTTCTACAAGAATCTTTTTAAATAATTGTTTTGATCTTGCAGTTTGTAGCCAGACAGAGTTAATAATCAATATTTTATTTCAAACATCTAAATATTAATAATTACATATTTTACACAGAACTAATACGTCATTTTCATTTAAAATATATGACGTATTTCAAACCTCTGTTTTCTTTGATGCTGCAACGTGGTTTATCCATTTGGTCAGTAAATCTTTCTTGGCTGTTTGAGTTAATCCATCGTGCCAAGAACAAAACAAATGGGGCTTGGCGATCCGATCTTGTATTTTATTATCGGACGGGATTAAAATAATCAATCTCTCGATCGACAGTTCTGAAAACGTTTCATTTATAATGGGTATTTCCAAATTGTTGCTTTTCCAGTAATTGTTAGAACCATAGATGATAAACGAACTGCTGGATTGTATTATCTCAAGCGGTCCTGAAAGTACACTAGATCCCAGAGAAAGGTCTGATTTTATGCGAACTTTCCATTCCAGACTCTTTTTAATCAAAATATTTTTTACCATATCGTTAATCATATTTACCTCCGGCTCGTCGTCGTCGATATATGAAATATAGATTTGGTTGTTTTGGGAGGCGTCCTGAATTGCTGGTCTGGAATCCTTACTTAGAGACTTATGTACGCCATCTTGACGTATAACTTGGAAGGGCGAATCGAGATGGAGAAGGTCGCGAAATAGTTTTACAAATATCCAATTTAGCAAATAAATATAGTAGGTGAAGCAATAACTACATGAGAGAAAAGAGGGAATAAAGATAATTCCCTCGACGGCAAAAAATAAAAACGGTATGGATTTGAATAGTTCTAACATTTCGCCACAGAAATTTTCCGCGTTAAAACTAGGTTCAGTCCAACACCGACTTGTCTTGTTCGTCACAGTCAGGTCACTGGGAATAACGGACACATAGCTAGAATCAAACAAATTCGGTCGCCTTGGTAACACTTGAAAAATTACAGGGTATCTAACTTCCGACAATTTTCTACGATTGGTTTTTGAATCAAAGTATCTCCTCTGAATAAAGAATTTATAGGTACCAAAATATTCGTCATTAATACAAAAATTCGTATCTGCCGTTAAGACCTGAGTTTGGCTGTCGTTAATTGTTATCATGGCAGTGTTTAGTTGCGACAAGAGATAGCCATATTCAAATAACAGCCAATAATTATAAATAAAGAATGAACATTTGGTAAATAGTTGTCGGTCGTCTAGAATCGTGATCGGCTTCTCGTTGATAGTATAGATGATGGTCGTGTCCGAGTTATCTGCACTTACAGAATGGAAGTTAATTCGAAAACGCAGAATGCCCCCTGGTGGGATGAAAATGACGTCTGTTCTCTCTGGAAGGCGTCTCAATCTGAACGTTGTAACTTCATACCTGGTGCACGAGGAGGCGCTGCCGTTTGTATAACATAGTTTGTCTGAACGGGGTTCCGTAGCAACTGTATCGTAATGAATGCTGCCACAAGAATACAAACCAAAATCTCCATCTCTTAGATTATAAATATGTAAAATAGATTCTCGATAAATAACATTGCAACCAATATTAGCCATGTTTACTCCAGTATCAGATATGCGATGATTCAAATCGGCTTTGACATTTTTACCATTTCGTGTCCATTCCATAGAGTAATTGTCCTTGCCATGCCCAACTTGTATTCGGCAGCTGAACGAAATATCCTCACCAATATATCTATGAATTGACGAATCGTCGTAGAGAAACTTTGTTTCGTTGACAACGACAATACTTCTCTCCATTCGTTGACAAAATTCCGTGTTTTTAACCAAATAATATGATTTCCACACGATCAACGCTAAGACACATATTCCACACAAATAAAATACATGAACAGCAGACATCAAACATAATATAGGTTTCCATCCAATTCTTATAATGTAAGGTAAAAGCATAATAGTTAATAAAATAATATACACTACGAGTATTGTTACCATAACCCACTGGTCTTCCATAGTAACCAGTTTAGGAAAGTTACACTTAAAATGAATTCACCTCAGATAACACAGTTGAAACTACTGTTGTATGCTACATGTACTTTTATACTGGGAATAAACTGTCTTCATATTATTGCATTATAACTAAGTTCTTATTAATCCGACTTTAATACAATTTCGATACTACTGCATTTGTAACCTGTGGATTATCTCAACAACATTTTACAACCTTCAATTTAAACACATTACTCATAAGCCACAGTCAATTTGACCTAATAACGTAATGTAAAAACCCAATCTCTATTTATAGCATTCATTCTGTCTCAGTCGTTTCTTGCCGGTAGACAACAGATATGAAATTACACTAGGTTAAATTACTCTCCGACACCGAGAATCACCGTTGTGGAGTGTGGACTATAAAAATGAAATGAGGTTTAAAGTCTTACTTTTCTGCACCAACTTGGAAATAGTGCTATGAAGGTGAGATGAAATCGGTATTAACGCCCTGCTGTTCTCCTAACGGGCTAATGAAGTCAGGCATATGGAACACAGTAAGCTAAGAAGGAAATTTTGCCCTGATAGCAGTGCTACGTCCAACTCGTGTATGGAATTCCAACTGCCAAGTGTTCTTTTACATGCACGACAATGTGTACATAGGGCCTGGGGGTTTCGTCCTATTCGAACATACTATGAGGGAGATTTTGCCTCAGGTGGATAATATATCCAACATCAAATATATAAGTAATTCATAAGGCCATTTATGCTGTTAATTTTTTATTTCACTTTTATTTGGAAAAAAAGAAGAAAAAAATTGTACACCAATCACCCTTTTTGAAATTACAAAATGATTGGAGCAATAGTTTAAAAAGTCTTAATTACTGTAAATTGGACAAGATATGAACAGCATTGGTACTCTCTTGCTCTGAAATGTGTCACTCTTACCTTAGCAAGGTTTATGAAATTTTACCCCACAATTAACTTAAATCCTAACACTTATAATTATCTAAGTGTTAGCTCCATCAAATCATAAAAACAATCTGCATACTGAGAAACTTTTTTAGATTTGTAGATCATTCAAAATGATGTTCATCAAATTTTGCAATACATATATATATATCTATAAACACAAATTGTATATAAATTTTTTTTTATATTAATATTCTTTAAATGATAAAGTGCATGAAAATATATATAAACATTTCTTTTATTACTGTACACAATATACAAAGATAGGTTGTCAGGCAACAAAACATATGCCCACAGCATCTAAATCATCCAGGCAGTCAACAAGAGTTGTCAGATTTTTCTTTTGTCGGTAATTACACATTTATAACAAATTAAAATCTGATTAAGCTGATTAAGAGTGAAATGAAATGGGGTTTAATGTACTACTGTTCTGCTCCGACTGGTCTTATGCTGGTCTTATGAAGACGGGCATACGTCATACAGTGTGCTATGAGGGAAATTTTGCCCGGGCAGCAGCACTATGGCCTACTTTTATATCAAAGTTCACCTGCCAAGGGATCTTTTACGTACATGCCAATGTATACACAGGACCTCGGTTTTCCGTTCCATCCAAACGAGTAGACAGCTGTTCTTGTTACGTCCTCCATCCTGCACCACTGACAATGGGAAACCACATCGGAAAATCCTGATGAACATTCTCGGCCAATGCAGGGGTCGAACACCCGACCTCCAGGCTAGCGAGCCTGATTAAGAGTACCAACTCATTAAGTAACAATCAGAAAATCATTAGAATTTGTTTGGATTCTAGTTCTGACCCATGCTGACGTTTAGTATACAAAAATTAAATATCATGGATTTAGCTGTTCAAGTTATCAAAGATATGTTGCCAGGCAATGAAACATACGCCCACAGCAGCTAAATCTTCCGGGCAGTCAACAAGAGTTGTCGCATATTTTTTTACTTTTTTCGGTAATGAAACATTTATAATACACTAAAATCTGATTAAGAGCAACAACTCAGAAAACCATTAGAATTTGTTTGGTTTTTATAAAGTTCTGCCCCATACAAAACTTTTAATACTGTATCATGGATTTAGCTGTTCCAAGTCATAAAAATTCATTGAAAATCAATAGGATTATTCGCCTCGTGACCTCAAACACTGTGTATAAATTTAAAGTCAATCAGATATTAACTTTAGCCTTTAGAGCATCCACAAGGTTTTTTAAAGTGATCAAGGGACATAACTCTGGCAGTAATTATCGAAAATCACTGAAAATGAATAGATTTCTTCGTCTCATGACCTTAAACACTGTGTATAAAATTTAAAGTCAATCGGATATTAACTTTTGCCTCTAGAGCGTCCACAAGATTTTTAAAAGTGATCAAGGACCATAACTCTGCCAGTAATTATCGGAAATCGCTGAAAATCAATAGGCTTCTTCGACTCATGACCTTAAACACTGTGTATAAATTTGAAGTCAATCGGATATTAAGTTTGGCCTCTAGAACGTCCACAAGATTTTTTGAAGTGATCAAGGGCCATAACTCTGGCAGTAATTATCGGAAATCGCTGAAAATCAATAGGCTTCTTCGTCTCATGACCTTAAACACTGTGTATAAATTTAAAGTCAATCGGATATTAACTTTGGCCTCTAGAGCGTCCACAAGATTTTTAAAAGTGATCAAGGACCATAACTCTGCCAGTAATTATCGGAAATCGCTGAAAATCAATAGGCTTCTTCGACTCATGACCTTAAACACTGTGTATAAATTTAAAGTCAATCGGATATTAACTTTGGTCTCTAGAGCGTCCACAAGACTTTTTGAAGTGATCAAGGGCCATAACTCTGGCAGTAATTATCAGAAATCGCTGAAAATCAATAGGCTTCTTTGTCTCATGACCTTAAACTCTGTGTATAAATTTAAAGTCAATCGGATATTAACTTTGGCTTCTAGAGCGCCCACAAGATTTTTTGAAGTGATCAAGGGCCATAACTCTGGCAGTAATTATCGGAAATCGCTGAAAATCAATAGGCTTCTTCGTCTCATGGCCTTAAACACTGTATATAAATTTAAAGTCAATCGGATATTAACTTTAGCCTCTAGAGCGTCCACAAGCAATTGTGGGCGCCGGACGGACGGACAGGGGCGACGACAATATACGACCACATTTCAATGTGGGCGTAAAAAAATCATTGAAAATCAAAATACTTGTTTGTCTCAAAGACCTTAAACTCTGTGTATCAATCTAAAGAGAGAGGGAGAAATGGAGTTTAACTTCCACTCGACACAAACTAGGTCATTTCGGGACTAACATATGGTTCAATTTTATTTCAATAATTTGCCAACGAATAGGGGTCTTTAGCAGTGGGAGGACCCAAAGAAAACCCACGAGGTTGGACAGGCGACCCTACTCCTCGTCACGTACAACCAGGGAATCGAAACCACAACAGTTGACTCAATGACAGACCTTATGATACAGATGATACAGCACGCATGTGCTAACCATTCGTCCATCCACCCCCCCCCCCCCATATAAATTTAAAGTCAGTTGGATATTAACTTTAGCAATTATTATGTAACCATCACCAAATGCTGATTTAATGTTTTAAAATAATAAAGTCTATGGTATGTTTAAATCTGGAGTTTGTCAATAGCTTCAATACTTTGACTGGTAATATTTTCTATTGTATTAAAATCTATCGTTATCTGTTTTTGAGAAGGGATATGTTGCCTGAAAAATAAAACAAATTAGGGTTGTAACAATAGAGTCACACATCCATCCACCAAGATGTGAAGGATCATTAAATGTATCTCAAATTTGCCTTGCATGTAAAAGAACCTTTGGCAGTTGGAATTAAAATAAAGAGTACCCGTAGGTGGAATTTATTCCAGCTTCGTGTCAAGACTTGTAAACTGGCTTACTTTTCAGGACATCCTAGTTTGATTTCAGTATTGGCCAAGAAAGTTCCACTGGATTTTCCAGTCTGGCCTACCCTTGTCCAAACGGGTCAGATTTCCAGGTAGTCAATTTCACTGCTAGGCAGCCAATAAAGATATGAGAGACACTACAACCACCACAACTGTTATATAGCCTGACAAGAAAGGATGGCAGGTCAAGTTTATTGCTGACAGCCACGATTGTTATGAGAGCCCTACACTATGAACACCATTGCCACTGTTAAATAAAGTGACAAGAAAGGATAGCAGGCCACGTGTTTAGAGAGAGAGAGAGAGAGAGATTAACATCCACTTGACTAGGTCATTTTGGAACTAACATATGGTTAAATTTTATTTCAATAATTCAGTTGCATGTAGGGGTCTTTAGCAGTGGGAAGAAACTGGAGGACACAGAGAAAACCCACAAGGTTGGACATACAAGCAGGAAATCGAATCCATGCCACATGACTCAATGACAGAACTTCTGATTCAACAGCATGCTTAAAAAATTTGGCCACACAACCCATCTTGGAAGAGACGGTCTTCGAAAGACTAAGGCTATGCCAATTCATGTACGATATTGCAAATGATATGGAGTTTAACATCTTACTGTTCTCTTCCAACTGGACTTATGAAGACAGACATATGCCGTACAGTGTGCAATGGGGGAAATTTTGTCCAAACAGTGGCGCTACATCCTACTCTTATATCTAATTCCAACTGCCAAGGGTTCTTTTATGTGCACGGCAAACAGGAAATATGATAAGCGGTATCGCATCGCAGTTTGCTAAATAAAAATGATGTAAGTGCGAATCAGATATTAATTTGATTAGCAGAAATTTATCAAATTTAAAGGAATCTGCGAATCAAGTTTCTCGTCCCAAATTAAGCGTGAAAAAATGTTTAAAAAACATTATTTATGGTTACACTGCCTATGGGCATTCTAGTCTGTAACCATTTCCCGTAGTAAGAATTGTCCACGTGTTCCCATCTGTCATCCCATTTGCTATCACACAGTATTTTAATCATTTTCCAATCACTGAACAACAAAAATATTCTGTAGTCTATAACCATACGAAAAATGTAGCCATCCGAAACACGTACTGTTATTAGCTATACAATATACCAGTTTTATTTCTATTTGTTTAACAAAGTACTTTGCAACTAAAACACGATATGCTACATAACATAAAACTAATTGTGGTTGAAGTCTATTAAAGGGAATGAAAGTTCCCCACACACATAGGGATGCCGACAACCAGTATTTGTGATACATATTTTGTTCGTTGGTAATTAAAAATTAAATTCTAACGTTTTGAATACTGACACAAAGATTATCCACATTTTGAATACTAGAAGGCTTTCTCAACACTATAAACGTGTATAAAATGTCAAATAAATTGTTATAAACAAAACTGAATTCTCCGTATGCCATTTTCTTCTCGAACTACCCAGACACAATTCATTATACTATATAATACAGGGACATAATTCTATGAATAGGGACTATTAAACTGGAAATGGGGAATCAAGTAGTAACACTCACATTGCGAGACATGTCAATTTCAAGTAATTATATCAGTATTCATTTTGAAAGAAATAAATCCAGTGTATCCCCCACGTATTGCAAAATAAAATATAAAACCAGCGGCTGCCAGGCAGGATATGCCCACATTTTCGAGAGATGGATAGAGAACAAGCTAAAATGAAAGCGATTTTTTGTACAATCAGGGACCATAATTCAGGAAGTTACGGTCCGATATGCACGAATATCGAAAGGAACCGAGATCTTTGGGTAATAAACTCACATTTCAAGTTTCAACAAGATAGGTTGCCAGGCAACGAAACATACGCCCACAGCAGCTATATCGTCCGGGCAGTCAACAAGAGTTGTCACATATTTTTACTTTTTTCGGTAATGAAACATTTATAATACATTAAAATCTGATTAAGAGTAACAACTCATTAAGTAATTATCAGAAAACCATTAGAATTTGTTTGGTTTTTATAAAGTTCTGCCCCATGCTAACGTTTAGTATACAAAACTTTTAACATCATGGATTTAGCTGTTCAAGTCATAAAGATTCTTGAAAATCAATATACTTGTTCGTCTCAAGATCTTAAACACTGTGTATAAATTTAAAGTCAATCAGATATTAACTTTAGCCTCTAGAGCATCCACAAGATTTTTCAAAGTGATCAAGGGCCACAACTCTGGCAAAAATTATCGGAAATCGCTGAAAATCACTAGGCTTCTTCGTCTCATGGTCTTCAACACTGTATATAAATTTAAAGTCAATCGGATATTAACTTTAGCCTCTAGAGCGTCCACAAGAATTTTCAAAGTGATCAAGGGCCATAACTCTGGCAAAAATTATCAGAAATCGCTGAAAATCAATAGGCTTCTGTGTCTCATGACCTTAAACACTGTGTATCAATTTAAAGCCAACTGAATATTAACTTTAGCCTCTAGATCGTCCACAAGATTTTTCAAAGTGATCAAGGGCCATAACTCTGGCAGTAATTATCGGAAATCGCTGAAAATCAATAGGTTTCTTCGTCTCATGACCATAAACACTGTGTATACATTTAAAGTCAATCAGATATTAACTTTAGCCTCTAGAGCATCCACAAGATTTTTCAATGTGATCAAGGGCCATAACTCTGGCAGTAATTATCGGAAATCGCTGAAAATCAATAGGCTTCTTCGTCTCATGACCTTATACACTGTGTATAAATTTCAAGTCAATCGGATATTAACTTTGACCTCTAGAGCGTCCACAAGATTTTTTGAAGTGATCAAGGGCCATAACTCTGGCAGTAATTATCGAAAATCGCTGAAAATCAATAGGCTTCTTCATTTCATGACCTTAAACACTGTGTATAAATTTAAAGTCAATCGGATATTGACTTTGACCTCTAGAGCGTCCATAAGATTTTTTGAAGTGATCAAGGGCCATAACTCTGACAGTAATTATCGAAAATCGCTGAAAATCAATAGGATTTTTTGTCTCATGACCCTAAACACTGTGTATAAATTTAAAGTCAATCGGATATTAACTTTAGCCTATAGAGCATCCACAAGCTATTGTGGACGCCGGACGGACGGACGGACGGGGGCGACAACAATATACGACCACATTTCAATGTGGGCGTATAAAAATCGGATAAAAATTGTGACCTCTATAGGGTCCACAACCTTGATATACCATAATTTTACGCTATTTGAGAACGAACCGCGGCCATTTTGTCAGTCAATTTTGGGCCGATTTTCACGAAATTCGAATTCAGCTGTCCTTTGGGTGTAACGGTGATATAACAATACGTTTTTTTAAATTGGATAAAAATTATGACCTCTATAGGGTCCACAAGCTAAAAACGTGATTTTTCACACAATCAGGGGCCATAATTCAGGAAGTTACGGTCCGATATGCACGAATATCGAAAGGAACCGAGATCTTTGGGTTATAAACTTACATTTCAAGTTTCAACAAAATCGGATAAAAATTGTGACCTCTATAGGGTCCACAACCTTGATATACCATATTTTTACGCTATTTGAGAACGAACAGCGGCCATTTTGTCAGTCAATTTTGGGCCGATTTTCATGAAATTCGAACTCAGCCGTCTTTAGGGTGTAACGGTGATATAACAATACGTTTTTTTAAATTGGATAAAAATTATGACCTCTATAGGGTCCACAAGCTAAAAATGCGATTTTTCGTACAATCAGGGGCCATAATTCAGGAAGTTACGGTCCGATATGCACGAATATCGAAAGGAACCGAGGTCTTTGGGTTATCAACTTAAATTTCATTTCTAATCGAGAAAGGTGTAAATATCACAAACCTGCATATAATATTAGCTTTTTCAAACATAATTCTTGAAGCTTTAAATTGTGGTCTGTCCCCATATTTATCAGAATAATATACAACTTCTTTTATACCGGATTGTATAACAACTTTAGCACATTCATTACATGGAAATAATGCCACATATATCGTACAGTTCTTTACATCAGCAGAATTCTTATTTAAAACAGCATTTAACTCAGCATGACATACTAAAAATATACCCAAAAAATTCAAACTTAAAATTATAAGATCTCAAAAAATTTTTTTTAAAACATTTAACTCAGCATGACATACTATAAAGAAAACAAAATTCAAATTTAAAATTAGAGAATTCAAAAAAAATATATACAACAACATTAATTCAGAATGACACACCATAAAAATAATAATATCTAAAATGATTTCTCAATAAAGATAATTCAAAAACAATTAAAATTTTTTGGTCTTGGCAGAATATCAGACCTCTTAGCGGTTTGGTAAAAACAGCATTTTCTATTTGATGTGATACGTCCTATGAACACAAGTTAAATAAGGGACGTTTAAATTAGATTGTATGCCAAGCCTGGGACCCATTAATCTTTTTCTTTTACTTGTATTTGTAACAGAGTAAAGAAAAGTTGGGGTGTCTAACTTTAGATTTGTTGTAGATTCCATGATGTAGTAAGGTTTTTGAATGTTTAATTCAGTGGGATTCAACATGGCTTCTGAGGGGATGAATATATTTAGGTATGGGTGAGTACCAAATAGTTTCATTGAATGACAGTTGAGATTTGGTCTAAAATGCCTAGGAAGTCAGCGTCATTCTGAACATCTGAGACAAGCTACCTGCGGAGAAGTATCTCAGACACAGTCAATAGCCATGATATCCATATCACGTGATCTACACATCACAGGTCATGACATTGACATCAATGGGTCATGAGGTCAACAACACGTTAGATTGTAAACAATAGGTTTATCTTCAGCATTGTGTCCTTTGCACCCATAAAGGCCATATAATTCGTACAGTCCCAACAGGTTCTCTCTCCTTCCAATGATTTTTCACAAAAATAACATCTACAACTCATAGAATTGACGTTGTCTTCAATGACAGCGTCTGTTCATAGAAGAGGCCGCCATATTGCACTATTTTGTGCGTCGGTCGGGTCTATTTCAGATATACACAACCAATTCTGTTGATGTTTTTAGCGTTGGGATTGACTAATAGTTAATGTGTTTCAGTTCTAAAACAAATACTTTAAACTTTAATGCAAATTTAGAAAATAGTCAAATTCTGGCTGGGATTACTGAGCAAAATGGCCATTCACTGTATACGTGCGAAAAAAAAAGCTAGCCACCAATTAAATTTTGTATGTTAGTTACGTACGGGAACAGCGTATGACATAAACAAAACAAGTGGTACAATAACATGACACAAGCAGATACCATATTCCCAGAGAAAATATACCAGTAACAAACATGATTCAAGGGAAGTAACTCTGATATTTCTGTTTTGAATAGAATAGTTAATTTCTTTATTTCAAAAGTTTTTATCTTCCTGAAAAGTTTCTTACGAGAACATTTCTCTAAGGTAAATCAATATCTAAATCTAAAGTAAATGTTTGATTTGCATGAAATTTAATATGGAGTAAAGTTTAAGATGTTGGGCAACATCAAAATCTCATGCAGTATGGTGGAGCAGAATCTTCTTAATGACCGATCAGGAAGACTAGTTATGTAACGATAGAAGTACTAGCAACTTCCGTTTAAACCTTTCTTATTTATTAAAGATACATTATGGGAGATTAGATAAAGAGCTGGCAGTTCTCACTATAATAGTTAAAAACTAGATAATGTAACAGGAATTTGCTGAAAATTTCAGTCAAATGGATCCACTCTGAACCGATCATCATTACTAAAGTCGGTACGATAAAAAAAATAGTCTCGATTATCCATTTCATGATTAAATCATGAATGAAAGTTCAGGATCAAATCAGATCCTAATCCAATAAATATCACATCGAGAGTTGATTATGGTCTGGATAAGTTAATTAATGTCTAATTAATAATTTAGATAACATTTCAGGCCTTAAAAAAGACCTGCAATAGCCAGATTTAGGTCTTATATAATGTATGTTTAATAAAAGTACTTTATTCCTACCATATAACTGTTTAGTTTTTAAAACATCTTCTGAATCTCTACCCCATGGCATACTATCATCATCACAACCATTAGGCATTCCATTATAACCAATACCAACAATCTTCTTCTCCTGATTTACAATACATGCACCCACCTTTAAATAATGCAAATAACAGAATATTTATAGATGTGCCAAGGCAGTGGTGTGGGAACTAATAGCAGAATATTATATATGTACCAAGGTAGTGGTGTGGAGGCAAATTCCAAGCACAGGCATCTTAAAAATAACTGGTCTGAATCCGATTCAGGGGCAAAAAACTAATCTCAAAACGATTCTTTATCAGTACTTATAATACTAGAACTGATAAAGACTCGAGACTAACATATTAGGCCAGGATTCAAGTCTCTCAAATGTGGCCAGACTCGTTAACATTTCATTTGTGGAGTTGACTTGTTTGCTAAATGATTAAGACGTTGGGTAGCTCAACTGGAAGTTTCAGGTTCCCTCCTGTTGGTGTCCGAAAAAGTTCCTCTCGATATTCTACTTCTAGCATGCTTTCGCCTGGTCAGTGGTGCAAGACAGTCTCTTACTATTTAGTCATTTGGATTGGACGAAAAGCCACGACCCGTATGCACATTAGTGTACAGTACACATAAAAGAGAGAGAGAGAGAGAGAGAGAGAGAGAGAGAGTCATTTCCTAATTCTTTGCTCCTACTTTCCATGAAATGTATAAATGGCGTCAGCGTCATTTAGTGAAATGGAGTTTGACGTCCAGTAGACACAGACTAGGTAATTTGGGGACTAACACATGGTTTAATTTTATTTTAGTAATTTGCTTGCACACACACGTCTTTATGTGGGAGGAAACAGGACCCGGATAAAACCCATGAGGCTACTCCTTGTCACGTACATGTTGAGAATCCACATTATCTGATTCAATGACAGACTTTATGATCTAAATCATAAGTTAATAAACCTGATGAATCAAGGAAATAATAATAAAGATAGGTTGCCAGGCAACGAAACATACGCCCACAGCAGCTAAATCGTCCGGGCAGTCAACAAGTATTGTCGCATATTTTTACTTCTTTCGGTAATGAAACATTTATAATACACTAAAATCTGATTAAGAGTAACAACTCATGAAGTAATTATCAGAAAAATTTAGAATTTGTTTGGTTTTTATAAATTTCTGCCCCATGCTAACGTTTAGTATACAAAACTTTTAATATCATGGATTTAGCTGTTCAAGTCATAAAAATTCATTGAAAATCAATATAATTGTTTGACTCAAGCTCTTAAACTCTGTGTATCAATCTGAAGTCAACTCTGGCAGTAATTATCGGAAATCGCTGAAAATCAATAGGCTTCTTCGTCTCATGACCTTAAACACTGTGTATCAATTTAAAGTCAATCGGATATTAACTTTGGCCTTCAGAGCGTCCAAAAGTGATCAAGAGCCATAACTCTGGCAGTAATTATCGAAAATCGCTGAAAATGAATAGACTTCTTTGTCTCATGACCTTAAACACTGTGTATAAATTTAAAGTCAATCGGATATTAACTTTAGACTCTAGAGCGTCCACAAGATTTTTCAAAGTGATCAAGGGCCATAACTCTAGCAGTAATTATCTGAAATCACTGAAAATCAATAGGCTTCATCGTCTCATGACCTTAAACACTGTGTATAAATTTAAAGTCAATCGGATATTAACTTTGGCCTGTAGAGCATCCACAAGATTTTTTGAAGTAATCAAGAGCCATAACTCTGGCAGTAATTATCGGAAATCGCTGAAAATCAATAGGATTCTTCGTCTCATGACCTTAAACACTGCGTATAAATTTAACGTCAATCGGATATTAACTTTGGCCTTTAGAGCGTCCACAAGATTTTTTGAAGTGATCAAGGGCCATAACTCTGGCAGTAATTATCGGAAATCGCTGAAAATCAATAGGCTTCTTCGTCTCATGGACTTAAACACTGTATATAAATTTAAAGTCAATCGGATATTAAGTTTAGCCTCTAGAGCGTCCACAAGCAATTGTGGACGCCGGACCGACGGACGGACGGGGGTGACGACAATATACGACCACATTTCAATGTGGGCGTATAAAAAGACATTGGCTAATCTTTGAAAATATTTATATTATTCAATGAAAATTAGAAATCAACTGTTAGAATCGTAATACTTTTAACTATCAATCGACCATAATTAAATATCCTTATTCTATCATATATGCTTGAGTGCGCGGCGACGGGGTGGGTATAATTCGTTTTTACTTGGTGGTGATGCAATAGTTCTTGCGTGTGTAATATAGTTACATGTATAAGGGTCTAGTTTGATTTTTCTTTTTTTTTTTTTTGAATTAGTGGGAGTATCAAATAGTAATTGTTCCGATTTATTAAATTATCTATTTTATTTAAATTATTATTTGGTAGAAAGTGAGAAGGGGGGATGGGGTGGGGGTGGTATCAAATTAGTATATATTCTTTGCTGTCTCCTTCTGATATATATATAGGTGTACATAAATTTTCGAAGTATTTAGGGTAGTGATGTGAATTTGCACAAAGGGAGGTGGGGGTATTTACACTCTATTGTTATTCATACTTTTATTAATTATCAATGTATATTATTTATATTTGTATACATGTTTTGGCTACAGCAAACTTTTTGCTTCGCCTGTAATAAAGTTCAATATAAATCAACCATTAAATCCCCTAGATTTTTATTAGAGCTCACACAACCTTTGTGTATCAGCTGAGTGTGTACCTGTGTTCTAGGATCTTTACTTCTCTGTGCTGATAAAAAGGCAATCGCCATGAAATAATCTGGCCACTCCAAATATCCTTTTCTTTTACAACTAGTAATGTTAACTTCATCTTTCAATGTATCTTTACTGAAAATATAAATATCTTAAAACAAGTAACAGTTTAAACATTCATTATATAAAATATAGATAAAGAGATGGCTGTAATACATACAGTTCAAAAATAGATAATGAGAGAGTTAAATGGGGTATAACATGGCATCTTGGGGTGTGTCTATTAGGGGTAACCCACCGCACAAACTGTCTGGCAGTGGTCATTCATGATTCCTGTCGTGGTACTGAACAACTCCAAAGCTGTTTTAGGTGGTACAGACTTCAGCTAATCTAGCCTAGCTATGGTCTGGAAATTAGATAAATCTTTGTCACTGTCAGGGATACTCCACCACTACAAATGTCTGGCAATTACATAGCTCTGTCAGGGGTACCCCACCACTAGAAATGTCTGTCAGAGTGTTTTGGTAACACCTGAAGATGTACGGTACACTGCTGTCAACCTAGCTGAAAAGTGTACCAATTTTCTCCTATATGGTATCAATGCATGTATATCTGGTATCATCAGAATGTAAGTCATTATCACCAGCCATCCTAAAAACTTTCGACGAAATGAATATAGAAATATCATCCATTCAACTAAAACGGCATTAAACACTTTTAAAAAGGACAAAAACATAATAATTAAGAAAAGCGACAAAGGCTTGTGTTGTGTCATAATGAATCGCGCAGACTATATCTCAGAGGCAGAAAAACAATTAAGTAATCCTATACATTACACTAAATTAGACCAACCCATCTTTAAGGACACCGCAAATTTAATAAACAACATCTTATATGAATTGCAGGATAAGGAATACATAACAGCGAAACAATATGATTATCTATCTGCTAAATCTGACTGCCGACAAAGACATCTCTATACACTACCAAAAATACATAAAAATCCAGAAACAGAATGGTTTATACCTAATAAAATACCCAAGGGACGCCCAATAATATCAGACTGTGGCAGCGAATCATACAACGTATCACAATATATAGACCATTTCTTATTACCCTTAGCATGCCAACACCCATCCTACCTTAAAGACACTAACGATTTCATTCAGAAAATCAAACAGTTAAGAGTCCCCGAACACACCGTTTTAATATCCATCGACGTACAAAGCATGTACACGAACATTGATAATAACACAGGTATTAAAGCAGTTAGGAAAGCATTTCTTAGGAACCCGCAAGCATCCAGGCCGGACGAAGAAATCCTCAAACTACTCGACATTTGTCTGAGGAGGAATGACTTCGCTTTTAACGACCAAGTATACCTTCAGTCTTCCGGAACTGCGATGGGAAAACGATTTGCCCCGAGTTATGCAAATCTCTTCATGGCGGAGTGGGAAAGGGAAGTTCTGCCACTCTGTCCATTAAAACCAGATTTCTATGGGCGGTTTTTAGATGACGTTTTCATAGTCTGGACCTACACACTAGACGAATTTTGGACGTTTTTCAACATTCTGAACAATCATCATCCACCTGTCAAATTAACCGCAAATGTAAGCCATAACAGCATAGATTTCCTTGATACTACCGTTTTTAAAAGTAACAACACCAAAATCACAGGCCAATTGGAAACTAAAGTATTTTTCAAAGAAACCGACACACATCAATTATTGTTCAAAAGCTCCTTTCACCCAAAACATACATTCTCTGGCATCATAAAATCTCAGATTCTCCGTTTTCATAGGATATGTACTCAGAAGACCGACTTTGAGTCAGCATGTACATTGGTCTTTAGCAAACTAAGGGAAAGGGGATACTCCAAACGCTATCTACGACGTATAAAAAACAACACTCTAGCTGAGATTGCCGCCAAAGAAACAAATAACATACAATCAGCACATAAAACCAAAATTTGTGGCCATCCAAGATGTCAAACATGCAAAATCTTAAACATATCCGACCATTTCCATAACAAAACATCTGGCACAAAATTCCCAATATTAGACCAACTTTCATGCAGTAGTTCAAACATAATTTATCTAATCTCATGCAGAAAATGTGACAAGCAATACGTAGGGGAGACTCAAAATGCACTTAGGGAAAGAATTAACGGTCACCGGTCTGAAATAGTCACCAAAAAAGACAAACCTGTCTCAATTCATTTCAACCAACCAAATCATGACATTTCTGATCTCATTGTCACGCCAATAGAAAAGACCAAGAGCGACTGTGAAACTTCAGAAGAAATTAAAACGTTTAGGCTAACAAGAGAAAAATTCTGGATTGACAAATTGAAAACAACAGCCCCCCTAGGTTTGAATATTCATACGGCTAGCGCAATAGCTCCTTTTGTAGTTCCATTTAGCGCAACAGCAGCAAGTGCGTCCAAAATCATCAGAAAACACTATACTGATCTCCAAGAAAATCACCCGAAAATATTCACACAGAAACTTATAATTGCATATTCTAAAAATAAAAATCTGAACGACATCCTAGTGCACAGTAAATTAGATTAAATAAGACCAGTCTCCACCCTGACCCAAAACAAACCATATATCAAATCCTATGCCTAACCGTTAGTAATTAAAATCAATTAGATATAAGAATCCCTAGCCGTAACCCGGTGATGTGGAACAAACACGATTTTTTAGAAAATCCAATCCGTAGAAGGAAACACACTAATGTGGCTCTCTCCCGAGAGCCTCAAATTTATTTTCTTTTTTCTTCAGAAACAATAATACCAGAATACCAGTAGCACCACCCAAGGAAGACCATCAGCGCCACCAACACCAATAAACAGTGAAATCGCCTTTGTGTATAAATCTAATGTATTGTATGTATTTTAATAAAACTAGGAAATATCACAAACTAATTTTTCATCATCCTAGGTCAGTGCTTATGTGGAGACTTAACCTCTCCCCCAAATTCTTAAACCTAACCCAACCAAAACCTAACCCTAACCCAACAGTTCTATTCGTTCTTTGTCTAACATGGCTTCTTTTTCCGTTTCTTATAAAGGAACGAAATAGCCATACTTGAATTTCTATGGTAGAAACTGGAGAATTATTTTTAAAAGAATATAAGATAATAAATGTAAATTGTTGAAAAGCATTTAGAATATTATTCTATTTTGGTCGAGGGTGCATTTCTGCGGATTTTGGTTTTAATTTAAGTACTAAGACTGTCAGTGGTTTATGTTTTACCCGTAAAATCGTGCTTCTGCGCCGAAACGATGTACGGTAAAATAGCGGAAGTAGTTACTTTGCCGTATACGGTTAAATATCCACTTCGTAATATTTAATACATTTGAAATGAATAATAATACCCTTTTTTACAATTAAAATTAGATTAATATATATGTTACTAGCAAATAATGCCAGATAGAACTATTTACAGAGCTACTGTACTGTCATTGTCAGTAGAAGGGGCGGGGTCGTGGTATGGTCATGGACCTTATCGGCTTATCATCATAAATATAAAATAAATGAGTGATATAAAATAATTTAAGGTCCATGTTAGTGGGCAGTGTCTTTATTTCTTAGTTCTATTCAATTGCCTTTCAAATTACCCATTGACAGCGCCGACAATTTCATCACACTTCTCCGCTTCATCATTATTATTATTAGTTTCCATTGTTATTGGGTTGAATATTAGTCGATATGTATAAAAGTTTAATATAGTAAATTCAGACGTAACCATGGCATTGAGGAAGAAAAAGAGCTCGAATCAATACTGGGTAATCATTAGTAAATTTATATAAAATTGAATAAAGTAATTTGTTTGGAAAGATTATGATAATCTTATCATGTTATAATATAAAGACTTAGATTAGTTTATTACAATAAACACAATAAATTATTTGATATATACTGGAAGGGATGTCCGCTGGCTTCAAATGCACACAATAACTGGCCCCGATTATAATAGTCTTGAACAGCTTGTCTCTAGCTAAAGCTACAGTCTAGTTTAACCAGACTGAATCTACAGACATTAAAACGAAGTATAACAATAATGTCAGAATATTTTTTTCACGAATTCCTATAATTCGCTACGATATCTTCAAATATTTTAAGGAATAATCCTTAGTATCATCGTCATTTATTCTGGATAATTCACTTTTGCGTTTTTACCTGAAATTATTGTTTTGTGGAAAGTGAATGTTCTGGAAAATTTGTTCGCATCTGTATAGACTCCGACACCCAGTTTCTTCATTTACGGATGAAAGACATCAAGAGAACGCTTATCGGTATACCACGCTTATCCGAGTATAAATACTCGATTAGTGGCGAAATTTCCCGAATGTTGCAAGATTATATAAACTAAAAGCGCAACAACGTATGATCCAATAATTTTATATATTGCGTTAGATTGCATACCATTTGTACACTTGTTTTATTCACGGGAGTCGTTTTAAGAAGAAACAGTTAGATTTCGCAGGATAAAAATCAACAAAAATGTTTCGACCAATGCAAATCATACCAAGAGTATGCCGATTCAATTCGATGAGGAATTCGTGCAGAGGATTAAGTACAACCCCATGGAACTCATCTCGACCTCTCGTCCCATTCAGAGGTAATCGTCTTTGGGACTGGCCTGAAACTCGTCTCTGGGACTGGACAGGGCATAACACCAGTCCCTTTAGTGCCTTTGATGATCATTTAAAAAATGTGATGAATCAGTTTGAGAGGGCAATGGGCCAAGTGCCCGGAGGAGAGGTTTATGTAAGTATATCAGTTTGAATCTGATATTATTTTTGAAAAAAATTATTACTGTCCTGTCGAGTAGCCACAGGCGACAAAATTGTGTTGAAACTTTATCTTTTGTTGGTCTCAAAATGAACAATATAATTTTATTAGATTCTAAACCCGATTCCTTTATGAAATGAATAAGGTTTAACGTCCTACTACTTTTCTGCACCGACTGGGCTAATGAAGGGAAATTTTGGCCGGACAGTGGCGCTACAATATCGAATTGTAACTGTCAAGTCTAGGGGTTTTTTTTGGTTTTTTTTATAGGATTTAAATGTTGTAGATATTATTAATTAGACATTTATTTACATAACAAGCCCGTGCGCGTTGTATCATAAGGTCTGTTATTGAGTCAACTGACGTGGTTTCGATTCCCCGGTTGTACGTGACAAGGAGTAGGGTCGCCTGTCCAGCCTCGTGGGTTTTCTCCGGGTCCCCCGGTTTCCCCCCACTGCTAAAGACCCCTACGGGCAAGTGAATTATTGAAATAAAATTGAACCCGAAATGACCTGGTTTGTGTCGAGTGGACGTTACCCCCCCCCCTCTCTCTCTCTCCCCCCTCTCTCTCTCTCTCTATCTGTAGACCCACGGATGGCTTGAATACAGCTTGGATTTAAACAATCGCCGATTTAATAATTAAATCATTAAATGGCTGACCAAGGTAACATTTACCGTTAATAACTGACGGTGCGTGCGGAGACAGTTGATGCCTATTTCTAGTCCAAACTTCCAACCTTCGTGGCTTTTCTCCGGGTCCCCCGGTTTCCTCCCACTGCTAAAGACCCCTACGGGCAAGCGAATTATTGAAATAAAATTGAACCATGTGTTATTCCCGAAAGGATCTGGTTTGTGTCGATTGAACGTTACCCCCCCCCCCCTCTCTCACTCTCTCTCTCACTCTCTCTCTCTGTAGTTACCTCGGATGGCTTGTATACAGTGTGGATTTAGACAATCGTCGAATTAATAACTAAATCATTAATTAATGGCTGACCAAGCTAACATTTACCGTTAATAACTGACAGTGCGGAGACAGTTGATGCCTATTTCTAGTCCAAACTTTCAACAATGATAATTTCGTTCAGAATAAAGTAATTATTGACTGAAATGTTAAATATTTTCTTTTTTAATCATCTTTCTTTGGAACTGTTGTATCAAGAAATGCCAACTCTTTATTAAAATCTTAACTAATGTATCCTTAATAGCCCAGTCGGTGCATAAACTTAGGACCCCACCACAAGCCATAGAGGCCTGGTAATCTAGAGATAAGGATTTTGTACCTTGATGAATCAAATGTCAAGAGCCATAAATAATCATGCAATTTATGTTTCACATAGATAAAAATTATGTCTATCACAGATATTTCTTTTGTTTCTCTCGACATTTTGATTGCATACAGAATATTTTTATTTGATTACAGGTGAAGTGTACTAAGACAGAATATGAAGTCATGGTTGATGTTCGCCATTACGATCCTGAAAACATTAAAATAAACGTCACGAATGATAAACTGGTCATCAGTGGTCGGCACGAACATAAAGCAGACGACCATGGACATGTCTCCCGTGAATTCACGAGAGAGCTAACACTGCCAGAGGTAATAAATCTTATATTATGTAGGCCTGTGCCTAAAACTTAGTCCACAGACTAACAGAAATGACCCTTTTCGCTTGTTGAAGCAACGAGCATTTGTTAATGTTGTGTTGTGGTGTATTTCCTAGGATTGTCCTGGATTGGCTTTGTTTATAACAGTCCATTAAAATAAACATACATCTTGAAGTTCACCCAATCCCAGAATGTTCTAGATAAGGCCTTTTATTAACAGAGAAACAATGTTTTTAAGAAGGCTTCAGCTCACATTTAATTAATTAGTATTAATAGGGGCTATAAAGAACATTAATCAACCAGGAACGCTGTCTAAATCACGGCACGCGTGTGCTCGTAACCTACTAGCTAGCTATTTGTCAGTTTTGTAAAATCGGATGATATTTTTAATGTACCTCGCGCTAATTAATCAAAGAATTGCTTGCTTTCGCACGTGCCGAGCGACGATCAGTTCTTGTTGCCGCATATCAAACTGCTCTCCAAAATCACCATAGTGCGCTTGACTTGTTTCTAATTGCGATGGTTTGAATATTTATGGTCGATGAATTCTCATGTTTGCCTCTTCGAATCAGTCGGTCATTGCCATTTTAAAGTTAGAGAAATCTACTCAGAGTTTACCACAATCACCCCTTCACTTCTAGGAACGTACTAAACATATACCACACCGTGTTGCGGTGTGTTCCCACTTAGCCGGCAGACTGTTAATCCTTTGATTGATCTTAAAACTATAGTCTGTTTAAAAGTAGTCACTCAAGAACTGTTCACTATTCACTAGTGTTCAGCGTTAATGAGCTCTTAATCCCTCTTAATAAAATTTATTAACCAACTAATTATTAATGATATTTTGAACACATAATGCCGGCGTTATGATTTCAAACATGAATTCAATTCACTATATTAATATAAATAGATGGTCGATCTGTGTCGAAATTATATTTATTTTAAAATGGCAAACGTTCAGGTTAATATTCGCTTTATCTCCAATAATCGAGGTGGCCGATATTTAATACACAATGGTTACAAGTTCAGTATAAAGTGTAAATTGTAATGCATTTTTATATGTGTAAATCATTTAATGTTATTTAATAAATATTAAATTTGTTAAAATCAATATATTTTTATATGTGTAAGCTATTTAATGTTATTTAATAAAAGTTAAAGATACATTATGGGAGATTTTTATGGAGAGTTGGCCATTCTTGCTATAACAGTTCAAAAGTAGATGATGAAAGAAGAATATATTGAAAAATTCAGTCAAATTACTTTATTCTGAACATAGTTATCATCGTTGTAATATTTGACTAAAAATGGTAGCGAAATGCGTCTTCACCTTCGCCGACCGTTTGATTGACAGGCGTTAACTCCACCTACATATCTCGATTATCAAGTAAAGCTTTCAATGGCATACGGAAACGCTTTACAGCGGCCTCGCTAAGTACACTCTATCATTTAGCCTCGATCTAACTGACGTATTTTCATCAGGTTACCCCTTATTTGATTTAATCAATTAGTGAAATCCTATTTAAATCCGAGCTGTAGCCGAGCCATCCTTGGGTCTACAGAGTTGATTTTGGTCTTGTTGTTTAAATAAAGATCTAATTTATAATTTCTATAACATCTGAAGCCTAAATTAAGACTTGCAATAATCAGATTTAGCTCTTGCATAATGCATGTTTAAATTTGTTAAAATCAATACAGTTTTAGTCTTAAAAAAGATATGGACTATAGTTTATAACACCATTGTTCTAGGATTAACTCTGGATTAGCGGCAAAATTTGACATCAAAGCCTGCCGGCTAAGTGGGAACACCCCCGTGTTGCACATTCAGATGCCCAGCCCCACTCAATATACGGCCCCATCTTTATTCCCAGCTATAGTTAAGTTTTGAAACGTAGGCTTAGTGTTGTCGCGTATAAGGTTTAGGCCTATATTCGGATTAAAAGAAAATTCCACACATTCACTTTCTACATTACTATGTATAGTTTTTGAAATATTCTGAAAATAACTATTTTTTCTCTTTCAGAATGTTGATACTGAGAGTATGACGTCAGGATTAACAAACGACGGAATATTATATGTTCGCGCCAAAATCAAAGGATCAGCAGAGGAAGGAAAAGAGCGGGAAATTAAAATCAACATTGATAGAGATGAGGCGGCTAAAAAGGAATAAATATTTAAACATTTTTGAGAATAAAAATGAATGCATGATTGGACGAGATGATAAAAAACCCACCTAAATAAGGCGTTGAGAGAAAATGGAATGAAATGATTGAAAGAAGACATACGTGGCTAAAAAGAATTAACATTAAAATAATAATATTAAAAAAAAAACGCTGAGAAAAAAGGAATAAGTGGCTTGAAAAGA